ACAACGACAAAATGACCTATAAATGGCTTCAGGACCTGGTTCATCAATCTCATGAACGTGCTCGGGGCGTTAGTTAAACCAAAAGGCATAACCAACCACTCGTAAAGACCAAACTTAGTCTTGAAAGCAGTTTTCCATTCATCTCCTTCAAAAATCCTGATTTGATGATAACCACTTCTAAGATCGATTTTTGAGAAGATCTTAGAACCGTGTAGCTCGTCCAGCATATCTTCAAGTCTGGGTATGGGATACCTATACTTTATGGTAATTTTGTTGATGGTATGGCTATCACAACACATCCTCTATGTACCATTCTTCTTTGGTACTAACAAGGCTGGGACAGCACAAGGACTTAGGCTCTCCCTAATGAATCCCTTTTCTAGCAATTCATCCACTTGACGCTGGATTTCTTTTGTCTCTTCAGGATTCATTCTATATGTCGGTTTGTTGGGCAAAGCAGCTCCGGGAATAAGATCTATCTTGTGTTGGATATCTCTTTTGGGAGGAAGACCGTGTGGTACGTCTTCAGGAAATACATGGGCATATTTTTCAAGGATTGGCTGGACTAAAGGATGGGGCTGTTTTGGAACAATATTGGGTTCAGTTTCTTCAAGATCAAGGAGGATGAGGTTTTTAAATTCATTGAACTCATGGTGTTCAGATTGGAGTATGGTGGAAATGAGAGTGGGATGATTTTCTTGGTTGTTTTGGACAGTGGAAGAGGAGGAGGGAAGTAAGGGTGTGAGGGTGATCTTCTTCTTATTCATTAGAAATGAATAAGTGTTTAGATAACCATCGTGCTGCACTTTGTTATCAAACAACCAAGGACGTCCCAAAAGGACATGGCATGCATCCATGGGTATGATGTCACACCAAATATCATCCTTGTAGGTTTTGCCAATGCTCAAGGAAATTAAACAGCGTGTATCAACTCGTAAACCTTTACCTTGATTCAACCATTGAATCGTGTAAGGTTTAGGATGAGGAAACAAGCTTAAGTTAAGCTTTTCCACCATGGTCTTGGCAGCAACATTAGAACAACTCCCACTATCAATGATTAGGGAACATACCTTCTTTTGGATTGTACAACGAGTGTGAAATATGTTCTCTCGTTGTAGTTGTTCTTCGGGGCAGGGAATGGCACTTAAGGTCCTTCGGATGACCAAAAGTTCGCTGTCATCTGGGCCAACACATTCTTCTTCTTCTTCGGATTTCTCCTCTTCAACCAAAGAGTGGTCAAAGTCTTCATCATCATATTGAACAAGGGCCATCACTTTTTTGTTCGGGCACTCATTGGCATAGTGACCGGTACCCTGACAACGGTAACAAATGGGAGCTCTTTTGTTGGTTGGAGGGGCTGTTTTAGGTGTAAAAGGGTTGGAAGATGATTTGGAAGGAGGTGTGGTTTTGGAATTTTGGGGCAGATCCTGGGTAGTAGAGGTGGATTTTGGTGGAGTGTAAGTTGGTTTTGAGTAAGAGGAAGTGGTTCGGGAGAAAATGGCTTTGGATTTCCTGATTTGAGATTCCACTTTAAGAGCTAATTTAGTGAGCTCTTCAAAAGTGTTGAAACCTTGTAATTCAACCGTGTTGGCTATTTGAGTATTTAAGCCAAAAAGTTACCTTACGAAGGTTTGTTCTTCATTCTCCTGCAGATTGCACCTTAGCAAGAGTTCTTCAAATTCTCTGGTGTAATCCTCAACAGATTTTGAACCTTGTCTAAGCGTTTGAAGTCTAGCAAAATTCTCACGTACGTACTCAGTAGGTAGGAACTTCTTCTTCAAGAGAGTCTTCATCTTTTGCCAGGTATCAACCGGGGGTTTCTCATCTCGACTCCTCTTGGTTTTGATGTTGGACCACCAGGTAGATGCATATTTCCGAAACTTCAAGGCTACAAGCTTGACCTTTTTCTCGTCGGATACTTCTTTGAAATCAAATACTCTTTCTACTGTTTCCAGCCATTCTAGGAACTCATC